TCTTGAATTGATTGTACTTCTTCAAACCAATTATCAATAAAGTCTTTATTTGCTTCAAATCCTCTTGGTGTTGATGGGGTACTATCGTCATGTTGTTGTAAATTATTAGTGAATATTTTGAGCATACCATGGGTTGTAGTTGAAGAGGAGAATGTAATATCACTAAAGTTTTTGGAAGCATTATAAAGGGCGCTAGCAGAGTTGTTGTTGTGGTTATCTTGTTGTATGTGAGTGTTGTGTGTGTTATAGTCTTCATTATATGTTAAGGAAATGCTTCGGAGTCTTGTTTTTGCAGTGTTTTGAGAAGGAGTTTATTGTTCATCTAACTCCATGTTTTCTGAGTTGTTGTGTTTAGTTCAGATGAGCTGGGAGTTGTGTGAACTTGTCTTTATGTGTTTCTTGTAAGAATAGTTTTTGGAGGCATATTGTATTTAAAACTCAAGAGCTTTTTGTCCATTTTTGCAAAAGAAAAAAAATTTCCAAAAAAAGAAATTTTTAAAGATCTGATGTGTATGGGAAAGAGTTTTTTTTTTTTTTTGCGAGAAAAGATTTTGTGTTAAAAAGTTTGTTGTATACATTTTGTATGCATTTACAACTGACTTCTCATTACAAATTCTGCTATCTAAAGAAAGAAAATTTTCTTACTGATCAGCCTGTTGCCACCCTATAGGGGCCTAACATGCCAAGAAGGCCATGTTAATGTTAATGAAAGGAGAAAGATTAATTATATAAAATAAGTCTGTATATCCTTTGAAGTATCTATCTATAAAGTGGTTTACCAAAAGTGGAAATATGTCTTTGATTCTTTGTTCCTGAATGATTTCTTCATTCATTTGACTTTGATTGCTGGAATTTCTTTTTTGGGAGGTTTTGTGGAGCCATTTATTTCTGGCAGAAATTCCGTTGACTTTTTCCCAATTGCTCATGATTATGTATCTGTCTTTCCATATTTTTCCCAGATGTGCTTTGAATTCTTGGCATATTATATATAGCCACTTTTTTTGGATGCGAAGATGGCATATGAGATTGTAGATTTCCTTGGTCAATTCTATACTGATCAGTCCTCTAATGAGTATTTCAATTGTGGATGATAAGATTTTTTGAAACATTGTATGTATTTTCTGTCATGTTTGTCTTTTTTCTTATTGATTGCCTTCTATGCTCATTAGTGTTGTGATAATTCTTTTCAGGCATTTTGTATGTGTGTCTAGTATTGTTACGTATGTGAGTACATGAAAGTTGTCTTCAATATCTGAACATATTATACATGTGTTTTGTTTATATGTAGTAAAGTTTCTTTTGAAGAGTTTGTTCATTGTTAGGAGTTCTTGGTTCCATAGATTAATCTGGAATCTTCTTTGTACCTAGTCCTCAAAAGTTGTAGTTCCCTGGTTTATGTTGCTGGAGTTGATATTTTCGAACGTTGTTTTCCAATTGGTGTACTTCTTTGAAATATAATTAATCTTGTGCGATTTCTATGTAGAAGACTCCATTGTGCAATATGTTTTGCTTGAAAGATGAGTTTGCAAAATTCTTTAATTGGAATGTCTATGATTTTATTTTCCATTTTGCAAAGCTTCAGTTTGCAAAAAGGAGTGGATTGATGGAGATTGTTCTTGTGCCTGGGTTCATGTTTCTGCAGTTGATTTTGACTAGTTGATCTGCTTCTTCATTGTCTTGAATTCTGGAGTGCGCTTTTAATTTATAGAGAATCAGTAGAATTTGGAATATTTTGCTGTATTCTATAATTGCTAAAGTGAGTGTCCAGTTTTTAGTTTTGCAGATCAGTGAATAGGTCGGCAGGTTGCTAGCTTGATTTATTGTCTGTATTGTTGCTTGACTGTCTGTATGGATGTGAATATTTGTTTTTTTGGATAATACTGTGAGAAGTGAGAGAATTGCGGTCAGTTCTGCTCTTGTGGATGATAGAAATGCACTAATTTGACCTTTGAATGAGGCTATGTTTGCTCCTCCATGCTGGATGATCCATTCAATTCTCATACATTGTTTGTTATTGTGCCATAATAATGATCCATCTGTGTATGCGGATAGGTGGTTTAAATTTTTGATTTGGTTTGCAATGTCTATCAAATCTTTAATAGTATTGACATCTCCTTGCCAGTATCTGTAAATATTGGTGATGTGGCAGTGTTTAAAGGGATTAAGACTGTTGGTGGAGGTGGTAGTGGATTCAAATTTGCAGCTTTGTTGAGTATGTATTCTTGAAGTGCACTCATTGTGTGGTAATATCCTGATTCTGCAGTGTGGGTTTGGATTGGATGTATTATTATTGCTGCGTTTGGTTTTATGGGCAGGAATTTGTATGATTTCTAGTCTTTGGGAGGAGAAGATGCATTTTTTGACTGTTGAGTAATTTTCATTAGTTGGCAGCCTTTACAAGGAGTAATTGGGGAGCCTCCTGTGATTCTTTTGTAGTGTGTGTAGATTATGTGATTATGTGTATTTTTAAGTCTTTTACCTATGGATTCATTGTTGTTATTGAGTGTGATTGCCCAGTGGTGTTTGTGATTTTTGCTATTGGACCTGGAATGTATTGCTGCGACAGTCAAGTAAGTCTAGGTTTAAAAGGGCTTGAAGTGTAGAGCTAATGTCTATATATCACTGTGGTTCTTTTCCTATGTACTGGTTTTTAGCCTTAGCATGTAGTTGTGGCCAGGAGAGTGTTTTTGTACAGTCCTCATTCAACATTTGTCTGATAAACATTAGGTTGTTTTTGGCCAGTTTGTGTTTCAGGTAGTTTGACCATGGCCTGTTTGAGTGTTGTTCTATTGTGTCTCCTAGTTTTTTGAGGATAATTATATCTGATGGCATATTGAATTAAATTCTGGATTTCCTAGTTTCCCAAATCATATCATGTGTAAGATTCTTACCAGTTGATAGGATTTTGTTGTTAATATGGTGGGTGACTGGTAAAGATGACCAGAAAGAGTTTTGGGTGTCTTGAAGTCTGTAGCATGTTGTAATATCAGAGAAGTTGTTGTTGTTAATTCTGGAGAGGAAGTTAAATGCATGCATTTGCATTTGTCTTTCGTAAAGATTGATTAGGTTGTTTTCATATTTGTTAAAGAGAGTATTGTTGGGAACTGTGTTTGTGAGTCCTATTTTGTGTTTGAATATTGTGAGGGCTTTGGACATTGTTTGTTGACATTTTTGATCAGATAGAACCATGTCATTGAGTAGATATTCCAGACTTGGAATTAGGACATGGTTGAGAATATATCTGTTTTGTTTGTCTGTGATTTTCTTTGATCCAATTAGTTTTGCAATTTTGTTTGCTTTAGTTTTCATAAGTGATGTTTGGTATCATTTGTTGCCTTTGGCACGGTGCCATGTGCCTAATATTCTGATTGGGATATTGAAAGCGAGGCCTTTGATGATTTGATTCTGAAGAACTGTCCCTTGATCTCCATCTTATTGTGTGCCATTAATGATAAGGAGAGCTGATTTGGTCAGGTTGATTTGAATGTCATTGAGTTTGTAAAATGAGGTTGCAGTGTTCAAAATGTTTTTGAAGTTCGTGTTGGTTGTATGCAAACCATGTGGTATTATCCATGTAGATGCATGCTAGAATGTTAGTAGTTTTCAGAGTCACCCTTGTCTGATGTCATCACAAGTTTTGTATAGCCTTTATGTGCAGTTGCTATTCTAGATAAAAGTGGGTCATAAAAAATTCACCAAAGCAGTGGTGAGATCGTGTCTTCTTGATCAATGCCATCTTCTACTAGATATGGTTCAGTAGGGCCAAATGGTGTGGAAACTATATTGTTGTGGGATGAGAAAAGGTTTGATATGATGTTTATAATAGTTGGAGAAATTTTGATTCTTCTTAATATCTTGATGAGCATCTCCTTTGGTACTGAGTCATATGCTTTTTGCATGTCTTGGCTGAGAATCCAGGCTTGTTATGAGTTCGATTTGTCATGTTCTATGATGTTCTGAATAATGTAAATCGGTTCTTGGGTACTGCAACCCAGTAATGCTGCCCAATTGTGTTGAGAGAGGATATTGTATTTGTTTAGGACTTTGGCCAGTCTATCATTGATACATTTTGTAAATATTTTTCTGCCAGTTTCTAGAAGTGTGTTGGGTCTAGTTATTCTGAGGTTGTTGTTCCATTCTTGAGGTTTGGGAATTGGGATCAAATTTTTTTGTTTTCAGTCGTTAGGGATTATCTGTGTTTTGAGGATGTTTTTGCAAAGCTCTGTGAAAAATAAGATTGCTTTGGGGCCAAGTTTCTTGAAGACGATGTATGGTATTTCTGAGGGACCTGGGGATAATGTGTTGCTTCTAGAGTAAATGATTTTGAGTATCTCTTCTTTTGTAATAAGGTGTGTTGTATGGTTGTACCATTTGTTATCGATGTTGGGTCTGGGTGTGTATTCCTGTATCCATTCTGGCCATTGGGTAATTGTTTGAGTGTTTCTTTTTACTGTCTATTGGTAATAGTGTGTTCTAACTGTGTCTTTAATTTGGGATAGTTCAGTTATTATTTTCAGAATGGCATCTTCTGTTATAATTTTATTTAGGGTGATATGCCTATATGGTTTTTCTAGGATGCTGTTGATTATTGCGTGTTTGTTATTGTTCATGTGTTGCAGTCTTCTGGATATTTCCATTGTAATTCTTTGTTTTGTTCTATATTTGATGACTATTTGAAGTGCTGATTTCAGTTTGATTATGATTGTATTGAGTTCTTGAATCCAGTAGTTGAGTTCTAGGTTTTGGAAAGAGGTTATGCTAATTGTGGGTAATTCAGGTATTTGAGGGAAAGTTGATTGGAGGGAAATTATGTGCTCTTATAGTTTAGTTATATTGAAGTTATATGGTATTTGTTTGATCTGTTTTGCTAGTTGAAGAAATTTGAGTAGATCTGTGATTTTGTTGAGTGCTGGGGAGGAAGTAGTTGGATCTTGGATGATTCTTTTATTATATTTGATCTTTTTGATGAATTTATTAGCTGCTTTTAAGATGGTATCTTTTAGGAAATTCCACTGAGAGTCAGTTGCCCTGGATGTGATTTCATGTTGTAAGATTGCTGTCTCGATTGATTGTTGAAATTTCTGCCAGTTTTTCTCTGAGGTGTGAAGTCAATTGTATCAACTTTTCCTGTGCATGTATATTTGATGGGTTGATATGGAGAGTTGCCATATTTCTAGGTAACATATTGTAGTCACATGGTCATTGTTTATTAAAGGTGCTGTGTTTTTGTCAATGTAGGCTTCTGTTAGGTTCCAGGTTTCTTTTGCAGATATCCAGATTTGGTCAATTCTGCTATATTGATTTCTGGAGTTGTGCCAGGTAAATTCTTTGTTGTATAGATTTATTTCTCTGAATGAGTCTAAAAGGTTATGTTCTTGGAGAAAGTTAATAAAGTTGTAGGGTGTTGTGTCATTTGGTTGGTGATTGGGTGATTGTTTATCCATTGAGAGATTGACGACTTCATTGAAATCCCCTTCAATTATTATTGCCCAGTTTTTGTTGCGTGCATCTATGATGAGCTTTTTGCATTTTTTGTGGATTGATATTTTGAGAGAGTAATTGGAGGGTGGGATATAGATGCCTAGAATTATAACGAACTTTTTTCTAGGGAAGGAGAGATCAAGTGCAATTAGTCTGCCTGGAATTTCTTGATGTTTGAAGACTCTGGTGGCGAGATGTGGGGTTAGGCTAATAGCCATATCCTGGCCAGTGTGTGTTGAGTTATGTGTCCACCAGGTTTTGAATATGTTAAATGTCCAGTATTTGGATGTTTTAGTGTTTCCATTGGTTTCTGTAGTGATTATAATGTCCCATTTGTTGCTTTTGCAGTATTTGAATTATAGGTTGCATTTGTGTTCAATGGACAAGTCTCTAATGTTTCTGGAGCATATTTTTCATATTAAGGGGGTTTGGTTGTGTTTAGAAATGTTTGTTACTTGTATGTTTTCGTAATTAGGTGTGTTGTTAATTGAGGAAGATTGGGGTGAAAAAGAGGTTGTTGGAGAGGAGAGATTGGTTGAAATAATTGGTGAATGTGTATTTGTTAATGGTTGATAGTCGTGATTTATTGTTTTGATAAATTCTGGGGATTTGTGTTTTGTATGGAGGTAAGTTGCATTTCAATGAGTTGTTCGTAGAATGAAGTCATTTGGGCGATTGAGTTTTCTAAGTTGTTCATTTGGTTGGAAAGTTTTTCTTGTTCTGCTCTGATATCTTGTGCGGGGCTAGTGGCACGTCTTTTCCTGGCTGTACTAGAGATAGTGCTATAAAAATCTTCATTATCTAGATTTACCATTGTAGTTGTTTCTTAAAATAATTTCTCTGGTGGATTATTGTATAAGTCATTCATTTCATCTTTGAGATTGTCAATTCTTTGGTTAAGTGTATTGAGATTTTGTTTTATTGAAAGAACTTCATTATTGAGGTGTTTGAGAATGTTGTAGATGTCTTTCAGTGTGGGGTTTTTGATGTGAAGGGTTTGACTTATATTTTGTGATTCTACTGACTTTTGATTGTCTTTTACTACCTGTGCAAATAATCTTCTGGGGAGAGTTTGGTTTTGGATTTTAGAATGCCTACTGGTTTGAATCTTGCATATAGGTAACCGAATTTCTTGGTGTTGAGTTTTTTCTGTTCTATTGATTGCTTTTGGCATGCTCTGGTGGAACAGTCTTTGAGCATGTGTTTTGTACTTGAGCAGATATTGCAGTTCTTTTTGGATAGTTCTGCCCTTTGTTTGTTGAGCTGTAATTCTGTGTTCCACTTCTGTTTGAAATTTTTCCCAGTTTTTACTTGATGCGTGGACAATTAAATCTGTTACTTTTGTGTTGTGTATTTGAGCAATTGGCATTGTGAGGTGCCATGCTTCTAGGAGGCATATTGAGGCTATGTGGTCACTGAAAATCGTTGGTTTTGTGTCTTTGTCAATAAAAGCATCAAAGATGTTTCAGTTTTCATGTACTAAGATCCATATTTGATGATTCTGCTTACATGGTTTCTTGAGTTACTCCATGTAATTCTTGTTGGTGTGGATTGATGTGTCTGTATGAGTCGATGAAGCCATGTTCTTGAAGAAAGGAAATCATTTTGTTAGTTCTATTTGGAATATGATTTGAACATTTGTCCAGTAAGTGATTACTGATTTCGTTGAGGTCACCTGCAAGGATTATAAACCAATTCTTGTTTAATGCTTTCATGATAAGTTCTTTGCACTGTTGTTATATTGTGTTTCTGTATTTATTGTTAGAGTGTAAAATGTATGTTCCAATTATTCGAATGTAAGTTTTTCTTGGGAATGCTAGATCTAAAGAAAGTATTCTGCCAGGGTATTCTTTTTTGTCGAAGACTCTGTTAGCAAGTATTGTCATTAGACTGATTGCTATGCCTTGGCCATATATTGATGTACTATAAGACCATAAAGTCTTGTAGAGGTAGGATTGCCAATATTTTGCTGCTTTTGTATTGACATCTGTTTTAGTTATGATAACTATATCCTATTGATTGTTGTGACAGTATTGGAACCATAGTTAACTTTTTGTTTCATTAGATAGTCCTTGTATGTTTCTGGTGCAAATATGTCAGGTGTTGTTGGTAGATATATTAGTTGTTTAGTATTGTGTATTATGTGTGTTTGGGAAATAGATGATGTTACTGATGGTTGTGTTCATGGATGAGTTTGGAGTAAGATGTTGTAAATCATTTGCAGGAGTATTGTTAGAAGTGTTTATCAGATTAGTTTCTAAAATTGTAGTTGTTGTTAGGGAAGATAAATTGGTTATTTGTGTTTTGTGAAGTTGATTTGGGGATAAAATACATGTGTTAAAAGATTAAGGAGATGTAGAGTCTTGTTTTTTGGATGTACGTGAAGTATTGCATTCTGATATTTGGTCTGTACTCATTGATTATTGGATTCTGGGGTTTGTGTTGTTGGAGTTTGTTTGTATTTGAGAGTCAATGAGTTGTTCCATTGATGCTACAACTTGCTGCATGGAGCTGTCGAGTGTATTTATTTGATTTGTGAGTCGAGCATGTTCAGCCCTAATGTCCATGGCTGGGCTGGTGGCCCTTCTCTTTCTTGAGGTACTAGAGGTGATGCTGATGTTATCATCTATTTCTTTGTTGTTATCATCTGCATCAATGAATTGTCTGTATCTTCTGTGAAAGTGTAGAGCTCTTGAATATTAGTTTCCATATTATCGATGCATTGGTTAAGATTAGAAAGGTCTTGTTTAATGGTGTTGATTTTGGAGTACATGTGCTTTATAATATTGTAGATGTCCCTGAGTGTGGGATTTTCAATTGTTGACATTTGTTGTTATTGATTGTCGGATGTGTTTGATGTGGTTTCTCTTCTTTTTTCTTTGACAGCATCTGCAAAGGATGTTGTACTTAATGTTTTCTTTGTTTGTTTGGGCCTGTTATTTATTTCTGCCAGTTTGTATCTAGTATAGAGGCGGTCAAATCTTTTGTTATTTTGTTGTTTCTGTTGAGTGTACTCTTGTTATCAGGCTTCAATGGGACATTTTTTAGCAAGATGTTCTGTGTTGGAACAGATATTGCAGATTTTGGCTGCAGTGTCCACCCATGTTAGTTCAGTAGTACCAACTATAGCATTGATATTTTTTGCACATGTGAGGAATTCCTCATTTTTAAAACTGAGAATAGCAAATTTTTTCTTGTATATCCCTGTGTAGTTCTAGGGATATAGCATGTTTGTGCTTTAGTTTCATTAATTATTTTTTTTAGGTCATAGCCAGTTGTATCTGGAAGGAGATTGATGAGTTTAAGTGTGAATTTACTTCTTTCTTCTTTGATTTCTTTGGTGTTTAGGAAAGGAAATATTCTAATTAAGTCGCCTCTAAATGAGATTACCCATCTGTTACTAATTTTGTCGAAGTCTTGGTGATTGTGGAATTCTATATTGGTTGATTGCCACATGCCAATGGTTTGCATTTTGATGAATTTTATATCATTATATTTAGAAAGAGCAGCATGGACGTCTGCCTGAAATATATTTAAGGGAATGTTCCATGCTCTGATTGTTTTGTGTTTAGCTTCTATATCATTGTAAACCAGTGTAGGCTGCATGTGAATAATGGCATTATTATTGATTTTGATGTTTTTGGCCTTTTCAGCATCCCTTTCTGCTTCAAATAGGGCTACGATGTTGCTAATATCTTATAACTTGTTGAGTCTGATAGATGTAAATGATTCTAGGTGGGACAGAAATTTTTTGATGAGATTAAGTCTGCTGTTATCATCTTTCCTGGGACTTCATTGGTGGGAATAAACATTTTGAACCATTTTCTAACATATTCAGTGGATCAATCAATGGGTCCTTGATTGTTGTGTTGAGTGGGAGTTGGTGTGTCGTCAGTGTTTTATAAAGGTTTTTGTAGTATTTGCTGGTTGATTTTGGAGTTTGATTGGACTTCTTCAAACTAGTCATCAATAAAGTCTTCTTTGTTATTGAAACCTCGTGGGGTAGAAGGTGTGCTGTTATCCTTTTCATTTGTCAAGTTGGTTACTATTTGGAGTGTGTTTTGATTGAGTTTGGAAGAAGAGGGGGGGATATTGTTTACAAAACTTGTTGAGATGTTGATAGAGGCACTGTTGTTGTGGCTACCAGTAGTGTTGTTGCTATTAATGTTTTTGCTACTATTGAAAAAGTTTGTAGTGCTACGAAGTCTTGTTTGTGTAGTGTTTTTGGAAGGAGTTTGTTGGTCATCAAGCTTCATGTTTTCAGTATTGTTTTTGGGAGTTTTGAACAAACTAGGGGTTGCTTATGCTTGTGTTTGAGTATTTCTGTATAAAATAGTTTTGGGAGACATGTTGTGCTTTAAAACTCTGTACTTTGGATCCATTTTTTCGCAAAAGAAAATTTCTAAAAAAGAAAATTTTCAAAAATCAATGATGTACAGGAAAGAGTTTTTTTTTTTTGTGATAAAGTTGTATTTGTATTTGCTGAAAAGAGTATTGTTGGAAACTATGTTTGCAAGTCCTATTTTGTGTTTGAATATTGTGAGAGCTTTGGATATTGTTTGTTAATTTCAAATAAAAAAACTCTTTCCCATTTACTCCCCAATTTTTGAAAATTTACTTTTAAGGTAATTTTCTTCTTTTATTCTTTTGGGTCTTCTCATCAAAGAGTTCATATTCAATATACCCCCAAAGAAAATATTATCAAAAAATAAATAACAACCCTTCAATAACAAGAACTTGTCAGAACCAACACAAACAAACACTTCAGTCAACATTATGGACTTGAATAAAAAACAAACATCAGTTAGAAACACCATCTCTTCCAAGTTTCATAATGTAGCACTGCTACAAAACAACAACAATTAACATGTCCTTCAACAACAACAACAACATAAACAATACACAAAATGCATCAGTTCTTGTATCAAATGTGTCTTCACCCTCTCAAAACATCACAAATCAAAACTTACCTTCAGACATGTCCAACATCCATGATATTCAAATACTAGAAGCTAAATATGACAGTATATCTTCAATTCCAAGAGCTTTCAGACCAGAAGACAGCCTAGCTGATAACTGGTTCGAAAAAGTCAAGTCTATTCAAGATACATACAATAACACTAGGTTTAATGATACAATGTTTAGGATCGAAACTAGACCCACAAATTTGCAAACAGAATATGACAGGAAAAGATACAAGATATTCATTTCAATGAATGATATCTCTGGTAAAGATAAAGCATCAAGGTTAAATTCCTTCAAAAATATCTTATCTGCTTTATTTCCCTCATATCTATTAGAACACACAAAACACAAAACAAAAAAAATATTATTGCATTATTTGGAAACAAAAAAGATGCAAATAGAGCAAAAACTTAGTTATCAATGAAAACACAACCTTACAAATACAAAAAGTACCAGTTTATAATGGTATAGCAGCAAAAAAAAACTATATGAGCATGGGACATCCCACTCAATGTATCCCATGTAGATCTATAAGAAGCCTTCTCTAAATATGGTAAAATTAGATCTATCAAAATACAGACAATCGGCATGTAACAATTGACCTGCAT